GACGTCCTCCACTTTCACCAATCGAACCCTCCCTTCTTGCGCCCCGTCAACATACATTCGGTAGCCCCCAAAACTACCAAACGCCAAATGCCCCGGTCACCGCCAAGCTGGCCAATATTCCTGGTAGACTTTCAAAGAGTAGCTGGCAACTTTTCGACCAAAAACCAATGCCCTCACAACAATTTCCTTATTTATCAGCCAGCCGAGTAACTGGGTCACAAGGCTATCCACTCTCAGAGGATAGATTGCTTCAAGCCAGAGCACCGCTGGCCTCTTCAGCCGCTGGACCTATTTGGCTAAGAGATTCGAGTCGGATGCCTACGAGACAGCTTGCAGCCTCACTGGCTAATCTTTCCGCCGAAGCAGAGATGGTGTCTAACAGTGCCACAAACATGGCAACTGAATGGCATAAATTTAAGGCTGACATTGCAGCCTCCGCCGCCGCCTCAACACTAAACTTGACTGGCCCTGTTCGGGGCTGGCCGCGCCATTTAGATCTGGCCAGGAACCGGTTGCACAGCGACAGTGTTAACAGTTTAACAGTCGGTTCGCTTACCGGACTTAGTCTATTTAACCAACCGCTGATTGGTGGGCGGACGCCATTGCCCTCTGGGCTTGGCTACACATCAGCATATGAAACTGATCGAGAACTTGATGACTTGGAGGGTAGAGGCCTACTACCTTCCAAGCACAGGCAGAATCCGTTTGGCCACTCTACTCTAATTGGCTCTCAGCCGACAGCCAGTTTAGGAAGCATGGTTTTTTCGAGCCGCGAGTCAGAAAGGAACGGGATATACGGCGAGGAGTACGACGATAACAAAGACTACGATGGCGAAGATCAAGGGCCGGCAGGTCGTGCTCAAACCCTATTTGCGGATATCGGCTCCAATTTTAACAAAAACAATATAGTGAACATCAAGATGATCCGGGAGCCCAAATATGGCTTCGGGATCATCCTAGTAGACGGAGAGGTGAGTGGTCAGAATTGAGTCGAACTTCCAAATGCGACTCCCTTTAAATTTAGCATTCACATTAAAAGGAAATGATACAAATGCAGGTCATATATTGCTTTGAAAATATTTGAACCAGCTTTCCTAACCTCATTCCCCAAGAGGCATGTTCATAGAGATTTTAGAGAAAGCTGCATGTGTAAATTGTATTAATTTTACATTTGGCGCCAACCTTAAGCGTAAGTATTATAATACATAGTATGCATGAGACTAGAGGGTACATGCTGATGCAAAACCAGCCTTACTGCCGAACCCCGTCTAAACCAAAGCAACAAAAATTTGCTAAAATATATGAAGACCAAGATGTTGTGACCTCTGGTGTGGTCGCAGTCTCCTTTCGATTGATAGAAGTGGGT